CTTTCTCTCGCGTCTCCGTCACTTTCTCTCGCGTCTCCGTCACTTTCTGTCGTGTCTCCATCGCTCTCCAGAAACTCTTCCATGAAGCGGTCTAAAACCGGAAAGCCATCCTCCATGAAATGTTCAATGATGCTTGTCACATCTTCACGTAGCTTTTCCAACGCCTCTGGCCTGTAGATTCCATGAATGGTGGCCACTTCCTGACTGGCTTTAGCGTCCTCAGCCCCGTTTTTCTCTTCAGACTCGTGTTTCAGGTCTGGGTCCATGTTTGCTTCTGTGTTTGTGAAGAAGTAAGCTCAGGTGTGTTTAGTTTTAAACTCTGCAGAGGGAACTGCGATGCAGCCGTTGTCAAGGTGATCATTGGTTCTTATGCAGACAGGGAGGGCGGCAGATTTTCATACCATAACTTTAACCTTTCACATGCTCACTGTGGTGGTCTGAGCTGAATTTGTTGGGACATCTTGTGCTGACACAGTAAAACATGCTGTGCTTCATAAATTAGAGTCAGAAAGAAGGAAAAGGGAGGGCTTGTTTTAGGGCGGGGCTACTGTGTGATTGACACTTCTGGTGCCCGTTGGTCTTTCAGTTAGCCCCTCCCCTCACTCTTTACATGTGCTTTTGAAACTAAGTCCATCGTTAATCTGCGTCTAGGACGCAGATCTGGCCTCGAACAGTAAGAAGGTGTCTCCCCGTCTCCTTCCTGACCGCCTCCGTTTTGTTCGCAGTTCTGGTCCCTGTGCGGTAACGCTCTCACACCAAAGCGGGGGATTTTCGGAAAGACGGGCGACCTGCAGACCATCTTGTGTGTGGCCTCGGCTAAAGATGACATCACGTACTCCGGGGCGCTTAACGGAGACATTTACGTCTGGAAGGGACTCAACCTGATCCGAACGGTCCAGTCCGCCCACAGCGTGAGTCTCACCTCTGCTTCCCGTCGCAGCAGAAGGCCAGCGTGACACTCGTCTGCACGTCTGGCTGACGTGGGTCCATCGTCGCTTCATTGTGTGGATGCGTGTGTGTTCTCAGGCCGGTATCTTCAGCATGTATTCCTGCGAGGAGGGCTTCGCCACGGGCGGCAGAGACGGCTGCATCCGACTGTGGGACGTCGACTTCAAACCCATCACTAAGATCGACCTGCGAGAGGCCGAGCAGGGATACAAAGGTACGGTCACGGGGTCACCGCAGGTCATTACAGCAGCAAAGGTGACAGTGTTGTATCACACAGGTGCACACAGGGACGAGGTCTCAGCTTCTAACACGATTTAACAGAAAAGGTTCGTTTGAGGCTGCAAAGTTAAGGTACGGAGAGGGGCTCAGGTGGGAGGGAGGGGCTCAGGTGGGAGGGAGGGGCTCAGGTGGGAGGGAGGGGCGGGTTTATCTCTATTCTAAACAATGAGGAGGAACGGTCCTTACATCCCGACGGTTCTTTGTCAGCTGAAGGTTTTAAAATGACCTGATTTTCTTTGAGGAGGTTTCTCATCTTTATTTGACCTGATTCAGCTCAAATCCAGAGGTGATGGCTGTTTGAACCCCTCGCCTCCCCCTCCTCCTAACTGTCGCTGCCCAGCAGGAGGTGCAGACGTACGCTCTTCCTTCAGGAGCAGCTCGAGGGCGAGCCATTAATCCCACCGCCTCCTTTTAAAATCTCCTCTCTGAAGATTTTGAGGAGGAAGTTAAAAAGGAAGAAAAGATGAAAGGAAGGAGGCAAAAGTTTTGTCAGTTTGAAACGAGTTCTCCTCCTTAACACATCTCTGCTGCAGACACGATGGAGCTTCTGATTAACCGTCAAAGTTCATCTCCTCAAAAACATCCTGAAACCAGTCGCTGTGACATCTGTGGACAGGAAATGTGGGAGCATCCTGCTCTAGGACAGCTTTGCATGATTCTCCTTGTTTCTTATAACGCTCAACGGTTTGAATCCGTCCGAGTTCTGACATTGACCGACGTGACCCAACAGATACAAACCTGCCGTCTCATGGTGGATTAGTCTGAAAGGCTGCTAATATATCGGCGCCTAAAAATGTTGGAGTTCCACGCCCGATGAGACGCTGAGCCCGTCCTCTTCGCCTCTCGCTGCTCTGTACGTGGACAGGAAGTCGGTTTGTTTCTGCTTCCTTCTCCTCTCCCGCGGTGCGCCGCGCTCTTCCTGCGTCTGAAGCTGAAGAAAAAATAATCTTTCCCAGTTATTTCCCACGTGCCTCACAAACTCCTCTGCTGTCGGCCTGTTTTGGCTGCTGAACCTCCGGAGTTTCTAACAACATTACAGGAAAACATCACATGCTGAGCGATGCCATCAGCCACAGCAGATGCTCTTAATTGGCGAGCGCTGAGCTGCTGAGTTCCTGAGCTCTGCTAATTACATTTCCGATGGTGGAAAAAAGCAGTTTTAGCAGCAAAACTTTAAAAAAACACGAAGGTTGAAGCCGAGCTGAGTCAGCAGGTTGAACTACATTCACAAAGTCCAGATCTCCCTCTGATCAGACACCTCCTGCGCTCCTCCTGGGGGTGTTCTGACCTGAGATGAATGATGTGAGTGTCCACGTGTCTCTGCTGTAGTGCAGGTGTGCGTTTCAGTCGAACCGGATTCTTTTCCTAAAACTAACCGAATCATTTTTGGTGCTTTTAAAGTGAAAATAAAAAACGAAGCAGTCCAGAGGTTCACGGAGCTCCGTCCACCCTCACCTGGCTGCACCGCCACCTCTCCAGCGTTTATTCAGTGGATTTAACCACCGAGTTCAGCAAGACCGAGGACCTGCTTCCTCTGCAGCGCTGTCGTCTTCCATTTTTATCCTCCTGTTTGCTTCTTTTCCTCCACTGGTTTTATTTTTGTCTTTCTCCTGATGTTTTGACAGTTTTGTGTCACCTTACCTTCTCCTTTCCTCTCCTCCCTCCTTCAGGTCTGTCTATTCGCAGCGTCTGCTGGCGAGCCGACCGGATCCTGGCAGGGACGCAGGACAGCGAGATCTTTGAGGTGAGGAAGAAGACGAAACCTCACGCTGTTCCCTCCCTGCGGCGACGCGTTTCAAAGAGTTTTATTTTTGTGAAGACCTCCTGCTGACACGCAGGCAACAAAATGTTCTCATTAATCAAAACTGTGAAGAGTTTCTAATGTCAGGCAGTTTTAGCAGCTCAGATCGGCACTGAAACGTGCGTGATGTGGTGCTTTAAAATGTGAAAACCTGCTCTTGAGTTGTTGTACCTGTGCAGGTGATGGTGCGGGACCGGGACAAACCGCTGCTCATCATGCAGGGACACAGCGAGGGCGAGCTGTGGGCGCTCGACGTTCACCCCAAAAAGCCTCTGGCTGTCACCGGCAGCGACGACCGCTCCGTCAGGTCGGTGCTCTCTTTGGACTGTGAATCATGCAAAGCTACTGTGGCTGAGTGTGAAAATGGAAGCACAGAGCTGAGGCGAGCAGAGTGATACAGATCCTTACACTGAGTGCTGCTTTGGCTCTTCCTCACAAAATCACTTTGTTTTCATCTGTTATGAACAAAAACTGACAAATCTGAACCTGAAACAACCTGAAATCAGCTCATGGAGACATCATGTTGCATTTGTACCTTTCTTAAAAATATCAAAGATTATAAATTTAACTTGTTGATTACACCTCTGTGTGTGTGTGTGTGTGTGTGTGTGTGTGTGTGTGTGTGTGTGTGTGTGTC